TAGATAAATTCGGGGTTGTGGTCATCATCGGAGTTGGGGTCAAGATCGTCTTCAAAGTCGGGGTCGGGGTCGTTGTCGTCATAGTCGAGGTCAGGGTTGGGGTCGTCAAAATAGGATCCTGATTCCGGATCGGGTTTGGGGTCATCAAAATAGGATCCTGATTCAGGATCAAATTCGGGGCCAAAGTCTGCATCTGTAGGAGCTGAGCCATTTGGGCACTTAACTCAGGTATGGTTGGTTGAGAAGGAGAGAATGAGTCGGTGGTGCTACCTCCATGAGGGTTGAAAAAATCATCAAACCCCATAGCGGCGGCGGGGGTTTGAAACTAGAGTCAGCAATTCCAAGAACCAGGCTCTGATACCATGCTAAAATATGAAAATGCTAAAATATGAAAACTATAAGAGAATATTTGTTTGTGGGAATTTTCTATGTATTCTTCTCCTTGTAGGAGGTCATATTTATAATACAACAAAACCTGAATGGGCAAGTAAATAATAAATTCCTAAATCTATTTACAGTAGGAAATCAGGAATTAAAGTAAATCAATTACAAATAAAATAGGAATCCTTGGTGTGTAAGGAAAGTAAGTCAATATCCACAAGTCACGCCAACACCACTAATGTCCATCATAAGAAACTGGATTAAATAGAAGATCTGAAGAACTAAATCTCATCCTTTAATTTATGCTTACAAGCTCTTCATTTAATTTATCCAAAGCATCATACTTGATTTTTGAACTCAACCTCTGCAAGAACAAAATGTCACATTAGCAATAGAATTCTCAATCACCAGTAACCAGAAATAGATATTTAAGCATATCATTGAGCATACACAATAAATAACAAAACAAAACGTATTTGTTTTAAGAAAAATAAATGGAATAAAAATGGAGTAGAGAATTCATACGGTTGGTTTGCAGTTATTGGAGAGAGAGAGAGAGAGGTTTTTTTTGGTCCCAGGAGAGAGAGAGAGAGAGAGAGAGAGAGAGAGAGAGAGAGAGGTATGCGTGAGAGAGAAGAGAGATTAGAGTACCAAGTAAAAAAGGATACTACCAAGAAAAGAGATTACGTTTCCAAGAAAAAAAAAGGGAGGAGAGAGAAATTTATTTTATTTTATTTTTATGAGAGAGAAAATAAAATTAATGATTGTTTATTTAAAACATTAAAACTATTTATCATGTCTGATTTAATCTCAACTATTAAAAGTGGAGTAATCTAATGGCTCAAAAATTGTGTAAAAAAATATAGTGCAACGGATCCGCCCCTTATTATTATTTTATTATACTAATTTGAGGCTCTAAGGCCCGTTTGGTTCACGAAATGAATTTGAGGGGAAATCATTTTCCATGTCATTTCCCAAGGGATGGGAATGGAAGATTCTTTTTCCACGTTTGGTAATGTTGGGAAAGTAACCGGAAGATATCACTTTATTTCCTTTCCCATGTTTGTTTTGAGTAGGAATGGAAAACAAAGTTTGTATAAATTTTCAATTATACTCATATTAAATCAATAAAAAAAATGCATTTAATGATATATTGTAATTATAAATTGTTAATGAGGACAAAATGGTCATGAAAAATGTTGATTTAATATTAGCTCATTTTCCCAAACTTTTCCATGAGGAGGGAAAACAAAACCTAAGTTGAGAGGATTGTTTCACTTTCCCCCTACTTTCTCATGGGCCAGGCGACGATTTCCCATGTTTGGACTTAAAAAATATAGGAAATTAATTGATTTTTCATCCCCAAGTCTCAATTTCCATGAACCAAACGGGGCCTAAAGGGTTATGTATTGCCTTGGGATCAATAACATGTCGCATTTATGAAAAATACCGCAGTAAAATTATCACCGCAATATTTATTTGCAGTGGACAATTCTAGGTTGTAATGATATTTATTTCATAATATCTTGAATTTTTAAGGGTATTGTTTATTAAACATGTCTTTTTTTTTTTTTTGGTCTCTGTTTATTAAACATGTCAACCACCTTGAAAAAGTTCTTAGATTCGTCACTATGGTTGCCCAAGTTAAGATTGAGAGGAGCTCATGAGCAGTGAGCGAGAAGACATAAGAGAATCGCAAATGAGAGACTAGCCTTCAAATGAATTAGTCAGGGCTCCAATGTGGTGTTGCGGTTCTATTGCAACATTATAGAACCGACGCAATGACCAGTCAAAACTCCGAGTGTAAATAATAAAAATAAATTTGTGCTCTTTCAAATTCACACAAGAAAACAGAAGAGTACTGCATATAGAATTTATGTAACACCCCGACTCCAGTTATTTCCTATTTTAATTTAATTAAGAGAAAATATTAATTTACTCTTGGGTTAAGGGTAATTTTGGTCAATTTCTT